ATATTTTGTCATACGATTGCCAAGAGCATAAAGATTGCTATATTTTACTGTATCTATGGTCTCATGTGGCTTTGTCACTACCATTCCATCAACAAAGTTGTGAGGTTCAAGATACCATGACAAAAAGGACCAAATTTTTCCTTTATCAGAAGAATACTGGGCATGGTGGCTCACGCCTATAACCCCAGCACTAGATGGGAGAACCGCTTGAGCCCAGGAGTTTGAGACTAGCCTGGGCAACATGGAGAGACCTTGTCTCTAGAAAAACCCCACAAAATTAGCCAGGCACAGTGGCTCATGCCTATAGTCCCAACTACTTGGGAGGCTGAGGTGGGAGGATCACTTAAGCCCAGGAAGTCAGGGGTACAGTAAGCCATGATCATACCACTGCACTCCAGAGTGTCAGAGAAAGACCCAGACTCAAAACAAACAATAAATACAGGAAATTTTAAATGTTTTATAAAGGAAGGCTGCCAAGGCAATCACTCAATACTCCCTGCATCTGTGTTCTTAACTTTCACAAAGCACATGAAACCATCTGAGAATCTATGAAAATGTAACTTCGTACTAGTGAAAGGCATGTGCCCACAAAAATGAATGTCTATGATTCTGTCCCATATTGGTTTATATCCCCAGAGTAATACATATATTCCATAAGAGTCTGATAATTTTGTCCTAATACTATATTTAAAGTGTCTAAGCAAAATAAATATTTAACACCAAATTAAGAATAATTCAGATGTTCTGCATTCTGATCCAATTAGTCATAGTTCTTCAATTAACTTACATTCCCCATTTGTAATGACTATTCTTCCTTTGAGACTCCTGGCAGAAGTATCCCAAAGAATAGGAATTACACCTTTAACTCTCCTCTTTCCCTGATAAAAATGCATTAAACTTGGGATGTTGCATTTTCCAAAAAGTGGCAAAACCACTTGAAAAGATACATATTTTGCTTGAAAATGTAAACTATTAATACAAATACAAGAAAGCAAATGGGTAATCTATATATATGTCTGAATTGAAATATACAGAATCATGTTTTAAGTTTGGGATCTGGTCAGCCCTTCTTATTTTAGAAATAACAGCATCAGAATGGTTAATTGGATTACTCCAAATTATACCCCTCCTTTTATTTATAGAAACTGGTTAGGAGATTTTATTGTATCTTCAACCAAAAACAAAGTTTAAGTGTAAAATCCTGTCTTTTAATGAGGGATGATAATCATGTGTGTGTTAAAAGTAGATAAAGTAGATAAAGGATACAAAGCAACTACTTGAAGCTATTGAAAAAGCTCAACCAGAAAAACAACTAATAATTGCATGCTCTTCCCCCAAATGTACTCAGCTAGATCTTTCTAAGCTCTTAATCACATTTCACACTCAATTGATGTTATGCAAAGTGTGTTTTTAAACATGATGCAGGAATATCAAATACAGCTTTACACAACTCATATAATTCCCATATTTATGTAAGTTTACAAATAAGCAACATGAACTGCCAGATGCTTTGGGAAAAAAATTACCAGAAAAAATTTTTTGGCTAACTCTTACACATCTAACTGAAACATCAGTTCTAGTGGGCATTTGGAGAAGCATCAATCCAACAGCTTAACACAAATCAAGAACTAAAATGACTCAAGTATGACATTTTTTCTCCTCCAGCAAAAATACACTGAAACAGTTTCCACTTCCAATCAAGAGGGTGTAATAGGGACCAGATTTATTGTCCTACCTTAAACTACCAGGAAGCTGAACGAAACAAAGTTTCAGACACTCAACAACAGTCAGAGTATGAGAAAAGGAAGGCAAAGGAGGTCACCCCACAACTGCCCCAGCATATACTGCCCAGTTTACAGACTACGGCACTGGGAGGGGAAGCCCAAACAGCTCAGAAGTTGCCCTGAGCAGCTGAGATGGGAGAGAGAATTTAGGGAGGCCACACTAGCTGAATTAACAGGACAGATTACCTGAGAAGAGAGCGCTGCAGACCAGCAGGGGCTCCCTCAAGTGCTGGCACTGAACAGCACATGTATATGAGAAAACTATCCAAATCCAGGAGAAAAAAAAAAAAACAAAACATTGAAAAGGAACAGATAAAAAAAATTAGCAGAGCTAATTAGAGATTACTCCCACCTATAATTCCAGTGACTCAGGAAGCTAAGGGGAAGGATTGCTCAAGCCCAGGAGATCAGCCTGGGCAACAGAGCAAGAAAAAAATAAAAATTAAAAAAAAATATAAATAAGTTCCATATATTAAAAAGTTTTTAAAGATTAGCCAGGCGTGGTGGCATATGCATGTGGTTCCAGCTACTTGGGAGGCTGAGGTGGGAGGTCTGCTTGGTCCTGGGAGGTTGTAGGCTCACTATGATCACACCACTGTCCTCCATCCTGGGTAAGAGAGTAAGACGCTGTCTAAAAAAAAGAAAAAAATTCCCGAAGCTAACACACACACACACACACACACACACACGAATAGTTTTCATACAAGCCACAGTGGGAAAACCTCAAAATGCACAGGGTACACATAAATACTCAGGGTGAAATGCCTCAATAATGGGGAAAAATCATCAATACATATTATTATTTTTTTTTTTTTTTTGAGACGGAGTTTCGCTCTTGTTACCCAGGCTGGAGTGCAATGGCGCAATCTCGGCTCACCGCAACCTCCGCCCCCTGGGTTCAGGCAATTCTCCTACCTCAGCCTCCTGAGTAGCTGGGATTACAGGCACGCGCCACCGTGCCCAGCTAACTTTTTGTAATTTTTAGTAGAGACGGGGTTTCACCATGTTGACCTGGATGGTCTCGATCTGTTGACCTCGTGATCCATCCGCCTCGGCCTCCCAAAGTGCTGGGATTACAGGCTTGAGCCACCGCGCCCGGCCATATTATTTTTTTTAAAAAAAAGGCAAACCATAGACTAACAATATATTTGTAAAGCATAAATCTGATGAAGGGAGGGGCAGGCACGAGCTGGCCTCAGAGCCCCGGCCTCAGACCGCCCCCTCTACACCCGGCACGCCCAGCGCCACCGGCCCCAGTCCTCCGGCTCTGCCTCCGTGAGGTGATTCCCAGCACCGGCCGGCCTGGGAGGCTTTCGGTGAGCGCGATGCGGTAACTAGTGGGCGAGAATGCCGTACGAGATCAAGAAAGTGTTCGCCAGCATCCCCCAGGTAGAGATGGGCGTCTCCAAAATCATCGGCGACGACCCTAAGGACAACAATTTTCTGTACACCAATGGAAAGTGAGTCATCCTAAGGAACATCGACAACCTAGCCCTTGCTGAAATCTACACGGAGCACGCCCATCAGGTGGTGGTGGCCAAGTATTCGCCCATTCTACATCGCCTCCAGAGCTGTGACTGGGAAGCTGAGAATCTGGGAAACCACGCAGAAGGAGCACCTGTTGAGAACGAGTACCAGCCTTTCGCCAGGAAGATCAAAGACATTGCCTGGACTTAAGACAGTAAGAGGATCGCCGTGGTCGGGGAAGGAAGGGAGAAGTTCGGAGCAGTCTTCCTGTGGGATAGTGGCTCTTCTGTGGGCGAGATCACGGGCCACAACAAAGTCATCAACAGTGTGGACATCAAGCAAAGCCGGCCATACTGGTTGGCCACAGGAAGCGACGATAACTGCGCTGCATTCTTTGAGGGACCCCCATTCGAGTTCAATATCACAATTGGTGACCACAGCCGCTTTGTCAACTGTGTGCGATTCTCTCCTGATGGGAACAGATTTGCCACAGCCATTGCTGACGGCCAGATATACATCTATGACAGGAAAACTGGGGAGAAGGTGTGCGCACTGGGCGGAAGCAAGGCCCACAACGGCAGGATTTACACCATTAGTTGGAGTCCTGACAGCACCCATCTGCTTTCTGTTTCTGGGTACAAAACTTACAAGATCTGGACATGGACTCCATGGTCAGTGTGTTTCCCATGGGCTCCAGGGTTCTGGACCAGCAGCTGGGCTGCCTGTGGCAGAAGGACCACCTGCTCAGTGTCTCCCTGTCTGGGTACATCAACTATCTGGACAGAAACAACCCCAGCAAGCCCGTGTCCGACATCAAGGGTCACAGTAAATCAATCCAGTGTCTGACCGTGCATAAAAACGGCAGCAAGTCCTACATCTACTCCAGGAGCCACGATGGACACATTAATTACTGGGATTCAGAGACAGGGGATAACGACTCCTACACTGGGAAGTGCCACATGAACCAGGTGTCCAGGATGACCGTGGACGAGTCGGGGCAGCTCATCAGCTGCAGCGTTGACGACACCGTGCGTTACACCAACCTTACACTGCGGGACTACAGTGGACAAGGAGTCATGAAACTGGACGTTCAGCCAAAGTGTGTCATTGTGGGCCCTGGGGGATACGCTGTGGTCATGTGCATCGGGCAGATCGTCCTGCTGAGGGATCAGAGGAAGTGTTTCAGCATCAACAGCCCCGGCTACGAGCCTGAAGTTGTGGCAGTGCACCCAGGCGGGGACACGGTGGTGATTAGAGGTGTGGATGGCAGCGTCCGCCTGTACTCCATCCTGGGTACCATGCTGAAGGATGAGGGCAAGCTCCTAGAGGCCAAGGGCCCTGTGACTGACGTGACCTACTCCCACGATGGCGCCTTCCTTGCCGTGTGCGACGCCAGCAGGTGATCACAGTGTTTAGCGTTGCTGACGGGCTACTCGAGCAGTGTTTTTTATGGACACCGTGCAAAAATCGTCTGCCTGGCCTGATTCCCAGACAATGAACACTTTGCCTCTGGTGTCATGGACATGATGGTGTACATCTGGACCCTAAGTGACCCAGAAACCAGAGTTGAGATCCAAGATGCACACCGGCTGTACCATGTCAGCAGCCTGGCCTGGCTGGACGAGCACACGCTGGTCACCACCTCCCACGATGCCTCTGTCAAGGATTGAACAATCACCTACTGAGGAGCCCCACCCCCGCCTCTGGACAGACCTAATCAGGGACTAGAGTTTAACTGCAGTGGACCATGTCATTTCTCTATTTCTGTCACACGCCCCCTTGCCCCTGCCCCACCGCAAGAGGCAGTAGGGCCCCATCATGACCCTTGTCTCTGCAAGGTGTCTGTACACGTTCTTCTGAAAGCTTTACACAGAACAGTTTGCACATGAAAAATAAAGCTAGCACTTAAACAATGTGTGGAGCATAACTAAAACCCGCAGCCCAACCAAACCTTGAGAATGCAGAACATTCCAGAGGCAGTAGCCTCCAAAGCACACAGAGCCCCCAGCCCTGCCGTGGCTCTCTCTCACTGTTGGTCAGGGGAGGTTGTACAGGTGAATGAGCTGGGCTCTCACGTTCCTACCTGCAGAACATTTCTGTACTAGTGAGAAGAGGGAATATGTGCTGCAGTTCAGCAAAGCCAGAATTCTGTGTTGAGCAGATGTCTGTCTCTTCCTAGCATGTGACTCACACCATGTGGCTGCCTTCAGAGAGCCACCTCCAGAGCAGATAGGGACACACAACCCCTGGATATGTTTCACTGTCAGATTTTGTGCTTGATTTTAAGAATGGAAGTGTGGTTGTTTTTTTTTTTTTTTTTAATGTATTTTAACTGTTGCCTGTCAGTGTTTACAAACTAGTGCATTGACGGCACTGTGTTCAGGTTTTTAGAACCCTTGTTAGTCAGACTGAGGTGTCCTGGTCACTGTTTCACCATCATGCTTTGATGTTCTCCTGTCTTTCTCTCCTTCTGTTCCCAGGAGCAAAGGTTAATTTAAGGGCAAAGATGAAGTCACTGTAAACTAATCTGTCATCGTTTTTATTTTTTCTTTTTCAGTGCAGAAATTAAAAGTATAAAGAAAAAAAAATCTGATGAAGGATCTGTACCTAGAAAGTACACACACACACACACACACACACACACACGCACACACACAGAGAGAGAGAGAGAGAGAGAGAACTCTGACAATAGTAATACAGATAATCCTATTAAAAAGCAGACAAAATATTTAAACAACCAAAGTAGATATACAGATATAAATAAGCACATGAAAAGATGCTCAGTATCACTAATCATTATGAAAATGCAAACTAAAACCACAACAAAGTACTACTACACACCCATTAGAATAGTTAAAATTAAAAAGACCTGCCATATGAAGTGTTGGCAGGATGTGGAACAACTCAAACTTTCATACATAAGTGGGAAAAGTTTAGTAGTTTCTTAAAAAGTGAAAACTACGGCCGAGTGCAGTGGCTCATACCTGTAATCCCAGCACTTTGGAAGGCTGAGGCTGACAGATTACCTGAGGTCAGGAGTTCAAGACCAGCCTGGCCAACATGATGAAACCCCGTCTCTACTAAAAATACAAATATTAGCTGAGCATGGTGGCACACACCTATAATCTCAGCTACTTGGGAGGCTGAGGCAGGAAAACTGCTTGAGGCCAGGAGATGGAGGTTGCAGTGAGCCAAGATGGTGCCACTGCACTCCTGACTGGCCAACAGAGTGAGACTGTCTCAAAAAAAAAAAAAGAAAAGAAAAGAATAATACACTTACATAAGACTCAGCCATTACATCCAATTAGGTAGGTGCCCAAGAAATCAAAGCATAACATACAAAGATCACAAATATTCAGAAGCATTATTTGCAATAGCCTTCAACTGTGAACAACCAAATGTCCATCAAAAGGTGAACAAATGGTGGTGGATATGTACAACAGAATGCTACTTGGCCTTAAATAGGCATGAACTATTTGATTCATCATCAACACAGATGAATCTTACAATTACTTGCTGAAAAAATATTTTCATCATCAACACAGATGAATCTTACAATTACTTGCCAAAAAAATATTCACTATGACTCCATTATATAAAATCCTAGAAAATACAACTTAATCTATAGTGACAGAAAGTACATCAGTGGTTACCTGAAAATGGGGGTAGACAGTGAATTAAAAAGGGTCACAAAGAAACTTGGATGTGATGGATATTTTATCTTGATTGTGGTGATGGTTTCATGGGTATATACATATGTAAAAACTGACCAAACGGTACACTTTAAATATGTACAGTTTACATGAATTATACCTCAATAGGGTTATTAAAAAATACATCAAAACAATTACTAAGGGCTGATATGCTGAGATTAGTGAAAGAAAACTCTTTGGTAGCCTATTTCAAAGACTCGTCATAAAGCCTTTACCAAATTTGAAAGAGTTCAAATTAATTCTCTCAGTAATTTTCTTTTTATCCTTTTTTGTGCTATTATACGTGTTCTCCAAACTTTGGAGACAATTTCGATGCATTCATCTTTGTATACCTTCTGTTGCCAGCCAAATAACCTGAACACAGTGGGTACTCAAAAATAACCTGGAAAACACTCTGTATTTATTTCAATGGATTTGTCCAAATACTTTTGAAAAATGACAATAGATTTTACTTGTCTATGTTCTAATTAAGGAGAGAGGTGTGTAAGTGTAAACCTCAGAATACATGGAACTTATTTAAAATCAACACAAATAACTAAAGCAGAAATAGAAACAATCTTATTTATTTATTTACTTACTTACTTAGAGACAAGGTCTTGCTCTGTTGCACAGGCTGGAGTAAAGTGGCATGATTATGGCTCACTGCAGCCTCAAGCTCTCAGGCTCAGGTGAGCCTTCCACCTCAGCCTCCTGTAGCTGGGACTATAGGCGCATACCACCACACCAGCCTAATTTTTTTTTTTTTTTGTAGAGGTAGGGATTCCCCCTGTTGCCCAGGCTGGTCTCAAACTCCTGGGCTCAAACGATCCTCCTGCCTTGGCCTGCCAAAGTGCTAGGATTGCAGTTCTGAGCCACCACACCCAAGCAGGAAAAACTATAAATCAGCATCCAGATGACAGGTCAGGTATACTGTTTTTCTCTGGCATAGTTAACACCATACCTAGCATGGCTTATTTCCCAACACTGTTCAACTTAAACCACCAAATTAACTTTGGCATTTTATATTTTTATTCCCACATAGGCCTTTGCTCAATACACTTCTTCCTTGATGTCTTCCTTATTCCTCTCTAGGCAAATTTTACCTGGAATGATTGTCATGATGGTATTAACAATAACAATAAAATACTTAATTTTTGGTTTTTGTCTTTGGTCCTGTTTATGTGGTGAATTACTTTTATAGATTTACATATGTTGAAGCAGCCTTCCATCCCCAGGATGAAGCCTACTTGATCGTAGTGGATAAGCTTTTTGATGTGCTGTTGCATTTGGTTTGCTAGTATTTTATTGAAGATTTTTGCATCAATGTTCATCATGGATATTAGCCTGTAGTTTCCTTTTTTTGTTGAGTCTCTGCCAGGTTTTGGTATCAGGATGATGTTGGTCTCATAGAAGGAGTTAGGGAGGATTCCCTCTTTTTGTATTGCTTGGAATAGTTTCAAAAGTGCCAGCTCCTCTTTGTACATCTGCTAGAATTCCGCTGTGAACCCGTCTGGACCTGGACTTTTTTTGGTTGGTAGGCTATTAATTGCTGCTTTGACTTCAGACCTTGTTATTGGTCTATTCAGGGTTTCAACTTCTTCCTGGTTTAGACTTGGGAGTGTGAAAGTATCCAGGAATTTATCAATTTCTTCCAGATTTACTGGTTTATGTGCATACAGCTGTTTGTAGTCATCTCTGATGGTAGTTTGTATTTCCGAGGAATTAGTGGTGATATCCCCTTTATCGTTTTTTACTGTATCTATTCTATTCTTCTCTCTTCTTTTTTATTAGTCTAGTAGTGGTCTCTTTTGTTGATCTTTTCAAAAAACCAGCTCCTGGATTTATTGACTTTTGAAGGGTTTTTTGTGTCTCTATCTCCTTCAGTTCTGCTCTGATCTTAGTTTTGTCTACTGCTTGCTTTTGAGTTTCTTTTTATCTTTCTCCTCTAGCTCTTTCAACTTTGACGATAGGGTGTTGTCGATTTTAGATCTTTCCTTGTTTCTCGTGTGGGCATTTATTGCTATAAATTTCCCTCTAGACACTGCTTTAAATGTGTTGCAGAGATTCTGGTACATTGTGTCTTCGTTCTTGTTGGTTTTAAAGAACATTTTTATTTCTGCCTTCATTTCATTGTTTATCCATTCGTCATTCAGGAGCAAGTTGTTTAGTTTTCATGTGATTGTGCGGTTTTGAGTGCTTCTCTTAATCCTGAGTTCTGACTTGGTTGTGCTGTGGTCTGAGACTGTTTGTTATGTTTCCATTCTTTTGCATTTGCTGAGGAGTGATTTTCTTCCAATTATGCGGTCAATTTTAGAATAAATGTAATGTGGTGCTGAGAAGAATGTGTATTTTGTGGATTTGGGGTGGGGTGTTCTATAAACATCTATTAGGTTTGTTTGGTCCAAATCTACATTCAAGTCCTGGATATCCTTGTTGACTTTCGGTCTCATTGATCTGTCCAATATTGTCAGTGGAGTGTTAAAGTCTCCCACTATTATTGTGCAGGAATCTAAGTCCCTTTGTAGGTCGTTAAGAACTTGCTTTATGTATCTGGGTGCTCCTGCATTGGGTGCATATATATTTAGGATAGTTAGCTCTTCTTGTTGCATTGATCCTTTTACCATTATATAACGTCCTTCTTTGTCTCTTTTGATCTTTGTTGGTTTAAAGCCTGTTTTATCAGAGACTAGGATTACTACCCCTGCCTTTTTTTTGCTCTCCATTTGCTTGGTAAATCTTCTTCCATCCCTATATTTTGAGTCTATGTGAATCTTTGCACGTGAGATGGGTCTCCTGAATACAGCACACTGCTGGGTCTTGACTTTTTATCCAGTTTGCCAGTCTGTGTCTTCTAATTGGGGCATTTAGGCCATTTACATTCAATATTAATACATTTACATTCAATATTAATACTGTTATGCTTGAATTTGATCCTGCCATTTTGTTACTGGCTGGTTGTTTTGCCCATTAGTTGATGCAGTTTCTTCACAACATCATTGGTCGTTGCCATTTGGTATGTTTTTGCAGTGGCTGGTACTGGTTGTTACTTTCCTGTGTAGCACTTTCTTCAGGAGTTCTTGTAAGGCAGGCCTGGTAGCGATGAAATCTCTCAGCAATTGCTTGTCCATAAAGGACTGTAGTTCTCCTTTACTTATGAAGCTTAGTTTGGCCGAATATCAAATTCTGGGTTGAAAGTTCTTTTCTTTAAGGATATTGAATATTGGCCCCCACTCCCTTCTAGCTTGTAGGGTTGCTGCTGAGAGATCTGCTGTGAGTCTGATGGTCTTTCCTTTGTGGGTGACTCGACCTTTCTCTCCGGCTGCCCATAGGATTTTTTTCCCTTCATTTCAACCCTGGTGAATCTGAAGATTAAGTGCCTTCGGGTTGCTCTTCTTGAGGAGTATCTTTGTGGTGTTCTCTGTATTTCCTGGATTTGAATGTTGGCCTGCCTTGTTAGCTTGGGGATGTTCTCTTGAATACTAGCCTTAAGAGTGTTTTCCAGCTTGGATTCATTCTCCCTGTCATATTCAGGTATGCTGATCAAGTGTAAATTAGGTCCTTTCACATAATCCCATAGTTCTTGGGGGCTTTGTTCATTTCTTTTCACTCTTTTTTCTCTAAAAGAGGTAAGCGTTGGCTCACCTTCCCTGGGCTGTTTTCACTGTCCTACCAGTCCCAGCAAAAGGAACTTCTCATTTTATTTCATTGATTTGATCTTCAATCTCTGATATCCTTTCTCCTGCTTGATCTATTCGGTTGTTGAAACTTGTGTACGCCTCATGAAGTTCTCATGCTGTGTTTTTCAGGTCCATCAAGTCATTTATATTCTTCTCTTAGCTGGTTATTCTAGTTAGCATTTCATCTAACCTTTTTTCAAGGTTTTTAGTTTCTTTGCATTGGGTTAGAACATGGTCTTTTAACTCAGAGAAGTTTGTTATCATCCACCTTCTGAAGCCTGCTTCTGTCAATTTGTCAAACTCATTCTCTGTCTTGTTTTGTTCCCTTGTTGGTGAGTTGTGATCCCTGGCAGGAGAAGAGGTGTTCTGGTCTTTGATGATTTCATCTTTTTTTGTGCTGATTTCTTCCCATCTTCATGGATTTATCTCCCTTTGATCTTTGAAGTTGGTGATTTTGGGAGGAATCTCTGAGTGGATGTATTTTCTGTTGAGGTTGGAGCTGTATCTCCTGTATGAGGTTTTTTTCCTTTTTTTTCCCTTTTTTTCCTGTAGAGGCACTGCTGGGCTGCCCAGATTCAGTCAGGCTGCTGGGTGGCCTTCTCCTGGAGTTTGTTTATGCAGGTGAGATTAGCCCTGCCTTCCCAATGGCAGGCATCTTTCCTTCCCAGAGTTTGATCTTCCTGGTTGTGGTCAAACTGGTGTATTTGCTGCAAAACTCTCTGGCGTGCAGGCTTCAGTTTGTTGGGTTTTGTGGCGGTGGGACCTACCAGGCCGTATGGCCTGTTTCCCTGCTTTCAACTCTGCCTCTTTCTGTGGGATGGATAGTTCCATCCTGCTGGCATTAGTCCAAACTTCAGCCCAGGTCTGTGCTGACAACTTGTGGTTGTTAGGTGGGCCAGGGCTGTCACTCAGATTTGCATGGACAACCCGAGGTGTCCTCAGTCCAGTGGGGCTCTTGCGGACCGTGGGTTGCAGGAGGGATGAAGGAAGCACAGAATCCGAATCAGAGCACTGAGGGGTTGAAGTCCCTAACCCTCCAAGCCAGCTGTACTTTCTGGGTGGGTACATGCCCTGTCCTGTCTTGGTTCACCCTCCCTGGGCTACTCTCACCCTGCTTCAGCTCACCTTCCCCGGGCTATTTTCACTGTCCTACCAGTCCCACCAAAAGGAACTTGGCATCTCCCTTGGAATCTCTAGCCTTCTGCATCTCACTCGCTGGGAGTTGCGCTTCAGAGTTGCCTCCTCTTGGCCATCTTGGCGCCCCGAGGTATAACTTCTTATACATGTTCACATATTCCCAAAGCCTAGCACTATGACCGCACATTGTATGTGCTCAAAAACTGCTTGCTGAATTGAAATGAACTGGGCCTTTATGGAACCATGAAATCATTTTCTTACCTCTTAGGTGGTAGAAGCATTTCTTCTGTACAATCTCTGACACAGTTATCCAGATTCAACTAGCATACTTCTAAAATAGAAAACTTACTACTTCACAAAACAGCCTATTCCACTGATTTAATGGTTATCAAAAGTTGTGGAGTTTTGTGTGAGGTTTCTTTTTTAAAAATAATAACTGAAATAAGATTTGCCTCCCAGTTCTACGGTTGGGGTCAGCACAGAGTAGGTATACTCTCCAACTATGGCAAGAACAGATATAACAATAGATTTGAGAGTGATTCTTAAAAAGCTGTATACAATTCAACAAGAATAAGTTTAAAAAAAGATGTACAGAGGGAAAATAATTATGCAGAAATAAGGAATAACTACTTGGTAGACCTACAATCTAGCAATAGTCAAAAAGTGTCTATTCAAAAGGAAGCTGGACATTTGAAACTAGCATACAGTCAGGCTAGTTATACAAACTTTTACTTATTAATATTTAGCCAGTATGTGGCTGAGGATGGTGGCTCATACCTGTAATCCCAGCACTTTGGGAAGCCAAGGCGGGCAGATCACCTGAGGTTAGGAGTTCAAGACCAGCCTGGCCAACATGGCAAAACCCCATCTTGACTAAAAATACAAAAATTAGCCAGGCATGGTGGCAAGCGCCTGTAATCCCAGCTACTTGGAAGGCTGAGGCAGGAGAATCACTTGAAGGTGGCAGGCAGAGGTTGCAGTGAGCCAATATTGTGTCACTGCACTCCAGCCTGGGGGACAGAGCGAGATTCTGACTCCAGAAAAAAGAAAGAAAGAAAAAGAAAGCATTTAGCCAGTACCTTTCAACACTAAAGAGATTCCTGGCACTGAAAAGATTCCTGATATCCCTGGCTAAACTCTATGAAATTGTGACTTTAGAAAGTTAACAAAAAGACCTAGAATTGGCATACATTTCTAAGAACTTCAAAGAAACAAGTTTCCTCTGTTAAATGGGCTAACTGACCAAATGACGAAAAAAATCACTTGGTGCCACTACACATTTATCTCAATGCTGCCATCTTTTAAAACATGGGACTACAGAGCTTTAAAAAGCCATACCTTATAGATTATGAGATCTGAAAATATCAATGATTTGAAACCCTACAAAAAGGTAGAAAAAAAGGTTAACACTGAAAGTTGAGGTAGTTAGTAACAGTAAAAAATATTTTAGGGTAATTAATTTAAAATGGAAGCTCTCATGAGGCAAGTAATTATAGACTCAAAATAAATCTTACTTTGAGATAACATGAAGTAACTTGTTGAATTCCCCAAATCTAAAAAGATTATATTAACAGAGATATGGGGAAGGAGACAGCAGAATAAAATCTACAGATATCTCATTTCTTCCGTAAATCCACTCTGCTCTTCTAATCAAAGCTGCTTAAATAGCAGTATCTGCTTGAATTTGCTGGTTTTGACTTTAATTCCATCACTATAGTGATGGTGCAAAAAGGAAAATAAAAGTCAAGTTCCTAATAAAATTCAAGGAGCTGAATTTCAAGGGCTGGTTATATTTACCTGAAAAATTAACACTTGCAAATTATTTGCAATCTTCTTTTTTCCATAAAGTAAAACCATGCTGTTAAAATTCTGTTGAAAAAAAGATTCAGTGGCACTGAAGAATGTTTCTGATTTAATGTTAATATAAAAAAAAAATACAACCTGTATACATATTAACATTCCAACAACGAGTAGGGGTAGGATGGAGAAAGCAAAAAACAGCCTGGGAATCTGGGAATTAAGTGAAAGTCATTTCATCAGAAAATATGAATGTCAGAATACTTGTTCGTAAACTCTAATTCCAAATTTAAAAAAAGGATTTTAACTCATGCATGAAAAAAAAAAGATTAATGTTTTGGTAGAAGAGATGGGGAAAAATACAAAGATAAAATTAAAAATCTATTAAATTTATAAAATTTAAAATATCTATAAAATTAAAAATCTATTAAAATAGTATTATTTTAGCACACTGGTGCCTGACTGTTGATGTGCAGAGAAAAGCAGTACGTGGGAACTCTGTCCTTTCTACTCAATTTTGCTGTGAACCTAAAACTACTTTTAAAAGTCTATTAATTAAAAAAAAACTTACTTGATCCTTACTGAGCATAGATTAATTTTCTTCAGTGGTATTGCTTACAGTGTTGGTAAATCTGTTTTTAGAAGAGAAATCTTACAGAAGTCTCAAAGTGTAGTTTCTTTTCCTTTCCTATTTTAAGATCTAATCTTGATTCAGCGAAATAAGTATCTTTCAAAATCCTCATCAGTCTTTTAGTACAGATACCTACTGCTGGGAAACCACCTGCCAGTGTCTTCACCATCACTCACTGCTGAACAGTGTTTGTTGAGTCCTTCCTCAGTTAGAACAAGAGGCACTGGCCAAAATGATTTCCTGTCTTAAACAGTCAAACTCTCCTTCCTTTTTAACTTCTTATATCGTTTCGCAATTTTACATAAACAGTTAAATCATTATACATGGCTTTTATAAAACGTTTTTATTTTCTCTAGATTGTAAGAGCCATAGTGCGATGACTTTGCCTCAGTCATCAATGCCTGACATATAACATAGTAGCTGCTTTGCTGAATGAATTTTCTTTTCAATCCACAAATAATGGCATAATCATCCAAAAGAAGTAAAAATGTTTCCATCTTGCAATGAAAAGGAAGTTAGTTTAATAAATGAGACCATAAAGTTTGAAAAGAGTAAGTCTCACAAAGTACTTATTTTCATTATTTGAACAATTGCTGGAGGTGGCGGGGGTGGTAGAGGGGAAGGGTGTTTAAATATCTGAAAAAGACACAAATGACATGTTTGGGCCAGAGAATTCTCATATATAATATCAATACCATGTCTGCATATCATATTATACTAAGTGCTTTAATAAATATTATCTCACTTGATTATCACAATTCTATGAGTCAGGTGAGGTATGGGTTGAGCATTCCTTATCCAAAATGTTCGGGACCATAAATCTGTTGGATTTCAAATTTTCTCAGATTTTGAAATATTTACATGTACATAATCTTGGGGATGCGACCCAAGTCTAAGCATGAAATTAATTTATGTTCCATATACACCTTACACACATAGCATAAAGGCAATAATTTTGTGCATGAAACAATTTCAATTACAACCCATCACGTGAGGTCAGGTGTGAAATTTTCTACTTGCAGCATCATGTCTGCACTCAAAAAGTTTTGGATTTTGGAGCATTTCCAATTTTCAAATTAGGGATAGGCAATCTTCATTCCTCTTTTCCAAAGTGAGGAATCTGCAGCATCCATAAAGCAGGACTGGGAATCAAACCAAATCCAAGTATCTGCCTACTACATCATATTGCCTCTACACCACAGAACTGCACCTGCTGCCACAAGTCATGCATGAAAATTCACCTCATCAGCTTCTCAGTATATTGAAATACAATCAGCTACTAGCTAACAAAAATGGAGTGCTCAATTAGTTGCATTTTCTCTCTGTAACTTATTTGTAGGTGAGATAAGCAAATTATAAGAAAATAAGCAAGATGAACAAAAACATAGTATAGTCATACAAATAAATATTCAGCCACGAAAAAGAATGACACATGCTATTGCTACTTGTACAATGTGGAAGAACCTTGAAAACATGATGCTAGACAAAAAAGCCAGTCACAAAGAACCACATATTGTATCATTCCATTTATATATAATGTCCAGAATATGCCAATCCATGCAGATAGAAAATAGATCAGTGGTTGCCAGGGGATGGCGGAGTGAGGGTAAATGGAGAGTGACTGCTAATGCGCAGCACACAGAGCTTCTTTCTTAGGTGATGAAGATGTCCTGAAGTGGGAGTAGTGACGGTTGTACAACTCTGTGAATATACTAAAACACTGAATTGTGCACTTTAAGTAGGTAAACTGTATATGATACAGGCATTACCTCATTTTATTGTATTTTGTAGATACTGCATTTTGCCACACATGGAAGGTTGGTGGCAAGCCTGAGTTAAGCAAGGCCATTCGTGTAATTTTTCTAACAGCATGTGCTTCACTTTGTGTATCACATTTTAGTAATTACCACAATATTTCAAAGTTATTAATGATTATTACATTTGTTGCAGTGATCCGTGATCAGTGATCTTTGATGTTTACTTTTGGAATTGTTTGGGGGTGCCATGAACCCCACCCAGGATGGCAAACCTAACCAATAGATGTTGTATATGTTCTGACTGCTCCATTGACCAGCCATTCTCCATCCTCCTCCCTCTCCTCTAGCCTCCCTATTCCCTGAGATACGACAACACTGAAATTAGGCCAATTAATAATCCTACAATGGCCTCAAAGTGTTCAAATGAAAGCAAGACTCACATATCTCTCACTTTAACTCAAAAGCTAGAGATGATTAAGCTTAGTGAGGAAGGGATGTCCTTCTGAAGGCCATGAAGGCCAAGCTGAAACAGGACAAAAGCTAAGCCTCTTGGATAAATAAGTCAGGTTGTAAATGCAAAGGAAGAGTTCTTTGAAGAAATTAAAAGTGCTACTCAGTGAATACATGGATGATAAGAAAGTGGAAGAATGTTATTGCTGATAGGAGGAAAGTTTCAGTGGTCTAGTAGAAAATCCAAACAGCTGTAACATTCCCCTTAGTCAGAGCGTAATCCAGACAAAGCAAGGCCCTAACTCTCCTCAATTCTATAAAAGCTAAGAGGTAAGGAAGCCGCAGAAGAAAAGTTAGAAGCTGGCAGAGGTTGGCTCATGAGGTTTGAGGAAAAAAGCTATCTCTATAACATAAAAATGTAAGGTGAAGCAGCAAGTGCTGATGTAGAAACTCTAAGTGATCCAGAAGATCTAGCTAAGATAATTGAAGGTCACTATACTAAGCAGATTTTCAATGTAAGACAAAACAGCCTTCTTTTGGAAGAAGATACCATTTAGAACATCAATGTCTGGCTTTAAAGTATAGGCTGACTCTTTTGTTAGGGGATAATGCAGCTCATAATTTTAAGCTAAAGCCAGTGCTCACTGGTCTTTCCAAAAATTCTAGTGCCTGTAAGAATTATGCTAAATCTACTCTGTCTGTGCTCTATAAATGGAACAAAGCCTGGATGAGAGCACACCTGTTTTTATACGGCATGGTTTACTGGCTATTTGAAGCCTACTATTGAGACCTGCTGCTCAGAAAGAAAGATTCCTTTTAAAACATGACTGCTCATTGACAATACACTTAGTCATCCAAGAGCTCTGATGGACATATACAAGGAAATTAATGTTGTTTTCATGTTTGCTAACATAAAATCTATTCTGCATCCCATGGATCAAGTAGTAATTTTGATTTCATTTAAGAAATAAATTTCATAAGGCTATAGCTGTCATGGACAGTAATTCTTTTAATGGATCTGAGGAAAGTAAACTGGAAACCTCCTGGGAAGGTTTCACCTCTATAGACGCCCTAAAGAATATTTGTAATTCATGGGAGGAGATCAAAACATCAACATTAACAGGAATTTGGAAGAGGTTGATTCCAACCCTCATGGATGATAGGGAGTAGATGCAGATGTGGTGGAAACAGCAAGAAAATTAGAAGTGGTGTCCAAAGATGTGACTGAATTGCAATATCATGATAAAAATGGAACACATGAAGAGTTCCTCCTTATGGATGAACAAAGTGGTTTCTTGAGATGGAATCTATTCTTGGTGAAGATACTATGAGTATTGTTGAAATGACAACAAAGGATTGAGAAAGTTGACAAAGCAGTAGCAGGGTCTGAGAGGACTGACTCCAATTTTGAAATAAGTTCTACTGTGGGTAAAATGCTATTAAACAGCATCATGTACTACAGAGACATTTTCTGTGAAAGGAAGAGTCAACCGATGCAGCAAACTGCATTGCTGTTTTCTTTTATAATAAATTGCCACAGCCACCCCAGCCTTCAGCACCCACCACACTCATCAGTCAGCAGCCATCAACACTGAGGCAAAACCCTCCACCAGCAAAAAGATTACAATTCTGAAGGCTCAGACAATCATGAGCATTTCTTAGTAATAAAGCATCTTTAAATTAAGGTACGTATGTATTGTTTTTCAAAACACAATGCCTCTGCACACTTGCTAGACTATAGTATAGTGTAAACATAACTATTATATGTACTGGGAAACCAAAAAAATTGTATGACTCCCTTCAGTGTGATACTCACTTTTTTGCAGTGGTCTGGAATTGAACTTGCAGTATTTTTGAGACATGCTTGTATATGAATTATTTCTCAAACTGCTTTAAAACATAATGACCTGATGGCACTGTAAAATCCTTAATTTAAAAAAATTCAAATATTTTCCAATATACTGCATCACCGCAGGGAAGTGATCTAATAATTTTAAAACATTTTCAGTAATTATGTCATAAGCAATTTGGTGTTGCCTTGTAAAAAAAACTTTACTAATTCAGAAAAATGGAATTTTCTATTCTTTAAAATTTTTTTCGCTTTTACCAAAAAGTAAATCATTCCTTTATTTTTTCTTTATCCTTTTGTTAAATATTCAGATTACGTTTTACTGAAACATAACTACCACGAAATTCATCAGTTTCAATTAGAGAGTTAGATATCTTTATGTATACAGCTGTGTGTGTAATCATCACAGTCCAGTTTGGGAAAACTTCTACCACTCTAAAAAGTTCTCTGTGCTCAGCTGGGTGCAGTGGCTCATGCCTGTAATCCCAACACTTTGGGAGGCTGACAGGGGAAGACTGGTTGAACCCAGAAGTTTGAGACTAGCCTGACACTATAGCAAGGCCCTGCCTCTAAAAAAAAAAGTTTTTAATTTAGAAGGTTCCCTGTGCCCATCTGCAGTCAATCCCTGCTCCTACCTCCAGACCCAGGCCACCACTGATTTGCTTTTGTCTTGAAAGTTTTCTGCTTTTTAGAAATTTCAAACAAACAGAATCATTCAATATATAGTCTTACATATCTGGCCTCTTTCAGTTAACATGGTTCTAAAGCCATCCATTTGGTTGACTATCAGTAGTTTGCTCTTTTTAAATTGCTCAGTAGTATTCCATTATACGGATGTACCATGTGTTTATCCATCTATCAGTTGATGATGACTTGAGCTGTTTATAGTTTTTAACTATCATGAATAATTTTGCTGTAAACGTTCACATGAGTCTATGTATAGATGCGTATATTCATTTCTATTGGGTAGATTCTTAGGAATAAATTTGCTAAGTCATAAAGATACATGTTTGGCTTTTGAAGAAATTACAAACTTTCCCAAAGTATCTATACAATTTTGTATTCCAAGCAGCAATGTATGAGGTTTCTAATTTCTTCACATCTCACCAACACTTACGACAATCCCTTTTTTATTTTGGCTGATTTACAGAATTCATTAGTGGTATTTCACTGTGGCTTCAATATCTCATGACAGTGAACAACCCTTCATGTACTTGTCTGCCATCCATACATTTTATTTAGCGAAATCTTTTCAAATCTTCTACCCTTTTAAAAAACTGGTGGTTTTAGTGTCTGAGTTGTAAGTATTCTGCATATTCTGGATTCAATCCTTAATCACATATGTTTTGCAAATACTTTTTCCAAATACTTGGCTTGGTCTTCTCATTTTCTGAATAGCATCTTTTGAAGGAAAAGGTTTTAAGTTCTGATGTTCATTTTAATCAACTTCTTTTTATTTTTGAGTTTTGCTCTGTGGCCCAGGCTGGTGTGCAGTGGCACAATCATGGCTCACTGCAACCTCCACCTCCAGGGTTCAAGCGATTCTCCTGCCTCAGCCTTCAGAGTAGCTGGGACTACAGGCGTACACCACCATGCCTGTCTAATTTTTGTATTTTTTGTAGAGATGGGGTTTCACTATGTTGGCCAGGCTGGTCTCGAACTCATGACCTCAGGTGATCTGCCTGCCTCGGCCTCCCAAAGTGCTGGAATTTCAGGCATGAGCCACCACACTTGGCCCATTTTATGAATTTTAGTTAGCAGATCACACTTTTGGTGTTACATCTAAGAAATCCTTGCCTAATCCAAGGTCATGAAGATTTACCCTTAGGTTCTCCTCTAAGAGATTTATAGTTTTAGTTCTTATATTTAGGTCACTGTCTCTGGATTTTAAGGAATTTTACAGTTTTACATTTTACTTTAAATAATCTGTTTTTGTGTATAGTGTGAAGGGTCTAGGTGTCATTTTTTTGACAAGATATAAATCCAATTGTTTCTTCACCATTTGTTGAAAATACTACCCTTTTCCCCAATGTATTACCTTAGCATCTTTGTCAAAAATCAATTTACCATATATATCTGAGTTCGTTTCTTGACTCTATTCTACCCTATTGATCTATTAATATTTGACTATAACACAGTTCATAGTAAGTTCTGAAGTCAGACACTGTAAGTCCCTATGTTCTTTCTTAAAATTGTTTTAACTCTTCTAGGTCCTTTAAATTTCTGCATATATTTTAGAATTAGCTTCTCAATTTCTATGAAAAAAAAAAAGATACTGAGATTTACACAGCGATTCAATATACAGGTTACTAATTTGGGTTTTCCAATCCATAAAAATTGTATGTTTCCATATATTTGGGTCATCTTTCTGAAATGTTTTGTACTTTTCAGTATACAGAAATACTCACTACTTGAATAAAACACCAATGATAAACTTCTTATTTAAGGCACTAAATTGAGAATAAAATATAATAGCAAACATGATTTAAAAATTTTCCAGACACAGTTTTAAGTTTACCATATCTCATATCTCAAAGCAAGACAAACCATGAACAAATAATAAAGATCTATTATCTCATAAAGTCTGAGAGTTATAAACCATTCATCAAATTGAGCAGGAAAAAAGTTAACTACTATTTCAAGGATACTTGCCTTGAATGAAATCTCCACACAAGTTTTTGGTAAAGAAACGAAATACTCAATTTGATTTTCCTTCCTGAATGCCCAACAAATCCAAGAAAGTTCCACAAACTAGAGTCATATTCACAAACAAAATACATTTTTGTATTACTACACTATTTATTTTGTATTTTGTATTATTACACTATTTATAATAGCAAAAAATAGGAATTATCTAAATGCCCACTGACAAGAGTAGATGGTATAAATTATGGTTCATTCACATTATTGTACTATAGTGAAAATGAACTATAGCTATACACAATAATATGTTGAATATTATAAACATAAAGTTGCGGGGGTGGGGGGAAACAAAGCAAATTCCAAAAGACAATAAGTGGTATGATTCCAAGAAAAACTAAATATATTGTTTGGGCACCAATACATTCATAATAGAAACTATTTTAAAGAGCCAAAGAGATAACAAATACAAAATTCCGAACAGTAGTTTCTGGAGAAAGGGAAGGGCAAAAGGAGGCAGGAAAACGGAGGTGAGAAACATATAAGTAAACAAATACAAGTTATTATTAATGTTCTAGTTCTTGGGTAAAGTAGAAGGTTCATATGTTTCATAACTTATATGTACATTATCTAATTCTTTTGTATCACATTCTGTTAAAATATTTTTTAAAACACAAGCAAAAACTATTTTGAAATAATTACTCATCATAAAACATTTTCCAGAAGTTGAATAGTAAACTCAAAATGTACTTGACATCTCTTAAAAAGTTCTTACCTTTGTTTCTGTTCAACTGCTTTGTCCAAGTGCTGAAAGATATCCTGAAACAAGGTGCAGCTGGATCGACTGTTAATAGTATACCCATATCCTCTTTTCCAGTATTGTTTCAGATCATTTAAATATTCTAATACCTAAAAAAGTCAAAAATCAATTCTAATATGTTTTAATCAATATAACACATTCCCTGATTTAATGATTCTCTAAGAAAAGGTTACCGTGTTTAATTACCATTCTGCACAAAATATAGCATTTGTCCTTTCCAGCATTTAAGAGTTGGTCCCAAAGGTTCATACCACAGAGATTTATGCTGCATCATAAATTTGGATTGGGGGAATGTAGAGGCTGGTGTGCAAGAGCAAGCTAGTAAACGCTCACAGTCAATCATCCAAGATCAACACAGCTCAAGAGAGTGGAGTAAGGACATGTGCTCACCTCTCCTTTCTTCTAACATTGTATTAAGATGATGTCAAGGATACATATAGAAGAAAGAAAAAAAGAATAATATTCATTACAGCACAGAAAGATACCAACAGTGGATCAGAAATGTTTAAGAATTTTGAGAAGGTAGAAGTCAAACAGAAAATGAGTTACTCTGGTTCATGTATCAGTTTGGCGAAAAAAAAAAGTGTGCCAAGGACATGGGGAAATGGGTACTGCTGGAAGGAATGTATATTGGTATAGACATTCTAGAGGGAACATTGGCAAAATCCATGAAAACACACATACTCTATGACCCATTTAATTCCATTTCGTTTTTTCTTTTTCAGACAGAGTCTTGCTCTGTCGCCCAGGCTAGAGTGCAATTGCACGATCTTGGCTCACTGCAACCTCGGCCTCCTGGGTTCTACAGATTCTCCTGCCTCAGCCTCCCGAGTAGTTGAGATTACAGGTGCCTATCACCATACCTGGCTAATTTTTGTATTTTTAGTAGAGATGGGGTTTCACCATTCTCTTGGCCAGGCTGGAACTCCTGACCTTGTGATCCACCCGCCTCAGCCTCCCAATGTGCTGGGATTATAGGCATGAGCCACCACGCCCAACCTAATTCCATTTCTTATGAATTGATATTCTTATAAAATGATATTCACAGAGTGATAGGAAATGCAAGCAGCCTCCGGAGATTTGAAAAGGCAGGGTATGGATGTTCTCCTAAAGCTCCCTAAAAGAATACAGCCCTATGATACCTTGATTTCAGCCCTGTAAGATTCAATTTGAACTTCTGACCTCCAGAACTGTAAGATAATAAATTTATATTGTTTTAAGCCACTAAGTTTGTGGTAACCTGTTACAGCAGCAATAGGAAACTAATATAGTAGAGAGAGTGATAAAGGAAATGTGGCAAAAAAGGTTAACAACTGGTAAATATAGGCAAAGGGCATATGAGTGTTCATTGTAAAACACGGAAAACAATTTTCCATATGAAAACTATTATAAAATGGTTGCTAGGACTTTGGAAAACCATTTATTCTCTCTGAGCTTTGTCTTCCTATAAGAAAAATTTGGGATTATATCAGTTCTACAATCCTTTCCAAGCATTAAATTTTGTTGATGGGTTAAAAGTAGGTCTGCAACTGGGTTGATTTAGAAATCAAATCACCATGGGAAAAATGTTTCCAGAGTTTTATGAACCTAAATTATTTAAAAGTAGGTGGGACCTAATTGAACCTTTAATCTCTCTTTATTTAAAGAAAATTGGGAGTTAGTCACAAGACAGTTTATGTTCCCTAACTGCTCATTTTCTGAAAAGCTGCTTCAAGTAACCAAACACAAACAAGCCCCCCCAAAATTTTTTTAAAGCAAAGAAACTGCAAAAACAATACTTACCTTTGCATCATCTATGTCGAAAACATCACACCAAGGAGATTTAATACCTTTAATTGCCAGGTCAAATGAACAGGTGAAAAAGGCTACTTGAATTAAATCTGGGGAGACAAAAAGGTAACATCTTTGTGGGTCATTATTTTCCATAATTTTTCAAAGTCTAAATATCTGTAGAATGCCATGTGTGGTACAGCTCAATAAAATGGACATGTTTGGTTTGGAGAAGAAATAATTTACTTTCTTCCTGGCTATCAAAGAATTAAGACACTCGCTCTGTAATCTAAGAGGGCAGAATTGGAACTATCAGGAAGAAACTACGAGGAAGTATAAATTTCAGTAAAATAAAATTAAGAAATGTTCTGTAATTGGTAACTTATTTCTGCCTTTTTTTTTTTTTGACAGAGTCTTGCTATGTTGTCCAGGCTGGAGTGCAATGGTGATCACAGCTCACCATAACCTTGGATTCCTGGACTCAAGCACTTCACCTGCCTCAGTCAATTACTTGTTAAGTGCATATTTTCCCTAACAATATCAACAAAAAGTGTAACCCAAGGACTTGCTATATAAAACTTGATATGATTTTGTTAATTTTAGAGGGTTCAAGGAGGGGGGCTAAGGTTATAAAAGTTTTATTACCCGACTTAAAAATTAGAAATAACAAAGTACATTTATTGAACAGGTTTTTAAAATTATACCATTCATTTTATAACTAAGAAGCAGCAGTTAAGTACAGAAAAGATATAAAAGGAGAGAGAAGACCACAGAGATAGAGAGGGAAGAAGTGCAGGGTAAGTGAGGGGGAAGGAAAAAGGTGAAACAGCTAAGGAGAAGAAGCAAAAGCGAAAAATCCCACACTAAAGAGAGAAATGTTGGTACCAACATCAGTTTTTCAAACTTAGCTGCTCAAATGATTTCAGAAGTGGATTTCAGAATAAGTTATCTAGAATTTTTAGACTGTTAATTTGCTGATAAAATTTTTTGATACACATACGGATATTGAAGAGAAGGGATAAGGGAATGAATGCTTGGGCTATAAAAAGTAGCCTTTGTTAGCAAATAAAAACACTGCTGCTCTCTAGTCAATGGGAAGTGGGTGATATTTGATGCTAGAGAGAAAAGAAGTCAACTGCAGTGGTTGCCTCCACTGCTTTGATTTTTCTTTGATTTTACTGCCTTTCCTCTTTTCCTAAAGGAAAATGGGACCAAAAATCAACTGACGTTACATGCGTTTTGCACTAGTTCTGGGTTTAAAGAATTCCCGAGGCAGTATATAATATCAAAAAAATGTATTTCATTGAGAATATACAGAAAAGCCATTCAAAACTTGGCTTATATAAAGAAAAGGTTTAATAATATCAATACCTGATACAATATAGTGGCTTGTAAGTACCAGGTACATTTGATGAAAGGACCTAGCTTATTTACACTCAAAATTAGAATTCTGAAACTATGAAAGTTAGCCCAAATGGTATACTCTAACTGGAAGAGAGTTTACTGGAAATAAAAATAATAATTCACCAAAAAACCTCTTCAGAGTACAGGGAGAAAAAGTATCAGATGAAGACTGAGGCTGAGACCTGACTTTGTCATTGTCCTGGCTAAGCTCTCTGAGTGTCAATTTCCCCCCTTACAAAGTAAAGAGGTTAGATACATGATATTATTTAACTTATAGCTCTGACATATCTGTTATGACCCTTCTGATTTCTTGGTCAATGTTTTAGAACCACAAAAATATTTCAGGTGGATAAGAAATTTAAACACTTAAAAAACAAAATAGACCCTTTCCCTCCACTCACCTAAGAAAAAAATAAAACAAACAAAAAAGGGAAGACAATAGGAACACGTAATAATCTTGGGGTAGAAGAATTCCTATTCAAAATAAAACACTCAGAAGCCACAATGAAGAGACAGATACGGCTATATAAAAGATATAAACTTCTGTGCAATAAAAGGCATCATCAACAAACCTAAGATATAAGCAAGAAATTAAAATATTAGCAACAAGCAAAGGATGAATTCTTTGTCAGGCAGAATTAAAAGATATAATTAATATATCCATAACACATAAAAGGTATTTGTGATTAATAAGAAAACAAAAATAAATAGAAAATGAACAAAATTAGGAAGGGGCAATTCTCAGAAGAAATGCAAATGGCTACTAAACATGAAAAGATGTTCACTTTCAGAAGTAATCAAAGAAATGCAAATTAAAGCTAGATATTACTCTTCATTAGTCAAATTGGCAAAAATTAAAATCACTGTATCTACTGTCTGATGATATGGGAAAACAAGCACTCTCATACACTGTGGATATAAATTTTTACTACACCTTCAGGGAACAATTTCAAAGTATATGTCAAAATATAAAATATTCATGCATGTTAACCCAGCAATTTAACCTATTTATATTTTTAAAAACTTTTTTTCATCTATATGTTTATTTATTTGGAGACCAGGTTATGAGACTGGCTAATTTTTGTATCTCTGGTAGAGACAGGGTTTCACCATGTTGCCAAGGCTGGTCCCGAACACCTGGGCTCCAGTGACCCACCTGCCTTGACCTCCCAAAGTGCTGGGATTACAGGTTGTGCCACCGCACCCAGGCTTACCTATTTTATCTTACAAATAAACTCTCACGTTTGACATTATAAGAATGTTAACTGTATCATTACCTGAAAGAGTTAAAAACTAAGAAAAACTTCAGTAGGAAAATGGTTTCCTATAAAAAGAATTTGTACTGCATTAGCAACAGCTTCTTAACAGCAGTAAAATTTGATGATGGGTTAAATAGTTTAAATAGCCTTAACTTGCAAATTGAGTCATTCATATGTCCCATGAAATAACACAGGATTTAAAAGAATGAGACAGTTCTATATTTGTCTATAGATAAAAATATAGTTAAGTAAAAATAGTTAAGTTACTGAAAATACATATAAACATCACTCCTCTATGTAAACAAAAGGGTATTAGTATTTACTGAGCAATTACTGTGCTAAGTACTAAATGCTTTATATGAATTAATCTTATATAATCTTTGCAACAATCCTATAAGACAAGAATAATTTCCACATTCCTCTTACAGAGAAGCAAACTGTGGCATAAAGACATTAACAAACTTGTCAAAAATCAGTTATTTAATAGGATAGTAGAGTCGAGATTCAAATGCAAATAGTCCAATTCCAGAATCCATTATTTTAACTACGATACTTAATATTGCCTCCAAAAAGAAGTTGCTGTCAGTTACTCCATCAGTAAAAGACGTAATTTTTGCCCATACAGACACTAAAAATCATTAAAAAAAAAATCTTTTCCAACAACCTAAATGCCTACTAACAGAATAATGGCTGGATATTGCTATAGTTATAGAATGAAATACATACATTTAAAATATAGAACTAGAATTACAAACATTAAATCAAAAACAAAAAGTTGCATAAAAATCAAATTTTGGACAGGTATAAACTCTGATACCACTCTTAAAAGTTTTAAAATTTACAAAACAATATCCCATTTATGTATAAAAACTGTCATGGGATAATACAAATGCTTAATTCATGACAATAATTATCATTGGTAAGAAAGGAAGAAGAATGAGATCCAGGAAAGGGACCAATGGACCTCAATTTATTTAAGGCAACTAACTGAAGCATGATGTTAAAATTTAATAAAACCAAGTTGTGGATATAGGGATGTTCATTACATTAGCCTTGTTTGCTATCTTCATGTTTGAATTATTTTCCAATAAAATAAATAATTTTCAAAGCTCCATAGGTGATGCCAACGTATAGCCAGTTTGGAGAAAGAAAAATAATTCAATTTCAAATGCTAGTACAGACATCTTTTTGGTCCCTATAAAGCATCCAGGCCCTGTGACTGACAAGTTCTAATCTATTTTCTTCCCCAACATCTACTTTCAGACTTTTGGAAATTAATTGAGAGTATAATGAAATCTACAATCTTTGCATGTATTTTGTCAACATCTGCCCTATGGAATATAAATTCCTAGAAAACAGAAAAAAATCTTATTTTCTTAATCTCCCATTGTTAGGTGGCCATGTGTCCTGGTTTCCCACCTGCTTTCCTGGCATTAAAAGTGTTCCCTTTCACTTTTGAAAGTGTTCCACCAGTTTGGATGTTAAGTTGCATGGTCAGCCCATGCACTGCAATAACTTATGATAGACATGACTGCTCATCTTCTCAGCATCTCTACATATAAAAGACAAAAAAAATCATAGCACTTTGCTTTTCACTTTCTAAAACTTACCCTTTTTACACATTAACAGGTACTTCTGAACTGCTTCAAAAGCTAAAAAATTTATATGATTTTTCTATTTGTATCATTTTATGAGGAGGAAATTCAGAAAAGATTGTTTTAAAAATAATACTTACAGTTGAGGCTTTCTATACTATGCCCTCAAAAAAACTCCAGAATACAGCTAGAATCTTGTGATCTTGTGTATTGACATAAAAAGAATATGAATCTAAAAACAGTAAATAGAAAGCACAAGGTATACAATTTTTTTGACCTAGAACAAGAGTATTTTCTTAATGTAAATCAATTGTGGGTCTTTAAAAAAAATTGTTTCCTTATTTTTTTCATTTTCACAGTTCAAAATTATTTAAACCAGAAGTTCAAGCAAAAGATAACAGGCATATTACCTGCATTCAAATCATTCACTGGCACTTCCAAAGTAGCTGAAACTTTTTTTAAAATGTTCTGCATTTCTGGTCCAGTTTTGAAGGCTTCCACGTGATAAAGAGCTGTAGCATTCCTTTCCACTTCAGTTAAAAACTTCTCACAGTGATCAAAGAACCTCATTAGTTTATCATTAACCCTTGGAGGTCCACACTCCATATCTAAGAGAAAAAAGAATTTACATATATATTTGTAAATCACTGACACAAATGACAGTTTCAAATTATTGAAAATGTTAAGTGTGAAAAAGGAACACCAACATCTTACTAATCCACATATCAGAAATAAGCATATATTGATCAGAAAAGTCATAGGGTAAAATTATTCCCAATTTGTAATGGCTGTAATGCATGAGAATAGCTAGAAAAGACTAAAGAAATAGAGATTGATTTGGTACATCTTTGTAGCAAAGATTCAAATAAAACGTAAATAAGAAAATAATTTTTTTCTTTAAAAAAAGAAATAGAGATTGAAGATTAAATATGTTTCAAATGAAACTGCATTATACATTAATAAGTACTGTTTCTGTCAGGCACAGAAAACTTTAGAAAGCAAACTAAAAATCAGCGAAGTTTCTACTTACAAGGTGAGAGACAATTCAGCATACAGAATCTATTTTTTCACCCTAAGCCAAAGTCTAAACAGAGTATTTTATTTTCTCGATTAACTTTCCCAACTCTGTGTCACTTTACAAAAGATTCTGCTTTGGACAGAAACTACTGACAACAGCACAAAATGCACTGATGTTTTGGGTCTCCTGTGCTTCACTGTGCTAGGTGCCTATGACTTGGTTTATCTTCTAACTGAAGCCCCCAGATAACTTTCCATTTAGAATTTAATAAATTATATCATTCCCCCAATTTGAGAAGCATTCATAATCATGCTTCAACTACTGGCATGCCCTTTAAGTTTTTTTCGGTCATATTCAAAACACATTTTTCAATCATTTCTCCAATAATTTACCAGGAAAAGAACACCAAGTATATCATTTTTGTACATAAAATATGAGAAAATTGAATATAGTTATATCCGGGCTTTGGATGTATATGAAAAAAATATATCAATATGTATGTTTAAGTGTGTTTCCTGAAATAAATAATTCTGCCCATTTTAATTGTAAATTGGATTGCAATTCTTCAGAAAATATCTTGACTAGGAAAATATGTGAACTTTGTCACCTTTTTCTATAGCTTCTAAAATATGATTTCCCAAGTGGATCTGAATATTTTATCCTTGTTACTATCTAATTATTGCTAGTGTTTAAACAAAAACAAAGGCATTGTGCTGTTTCTATAAACTACAAAATCTAATTCAGCAGAATCCCTCAAAAGCCCAGATGTACATAACAGGCAAAACTATTGTCTATATAAAATAACAAAGTGGCTAGGCAAAGGGTTTACTCTCACACTGAAAACAGTCAGAGGTGGGCTTATTCTGAACTGTAATATTTTGATCCCTGGCTCTCTTCTCCGAGACAAATGCCAGTCTTCACAATGCCATCTGAGAACAAAAATTCACTTGTTCCAGGAGGTCACTATAAGTATATTGTGCCATATTAAAATATGTTCTGCTTTCAACATTCTGTTAATTTAACAGATTTATGACTTTTCACCGTGTTAATGAAAAAGGTATATAGTTTAACAAAACAATTCAACAAATAACTAGACAGAAGTCAGCTAACTGAATTACCCACAATTAAATGACACAGAATCCGTGGAGAAATCCCTTACAGACGGTTTCGCAGCTACAGAAGAAATTACAAACCAGTCTACTTCTAAATTTTCACTTGGGCTTTGAAGCTAAATGATAATCCTCATTTCAATTCTGGCCTTAAAAGTGACCAAGAAACTATTAACGCTTGTTCATCTTTGTGGTACAAAAACGTTACATGTTTTTATTCTTATCAGGTACGTTATTGGACAAATGGGCGCTGTATAGCTTAATGGTTGAGAGAACAAGCTCTGAATCAGACTTTCTCAGTTCCATGAAAATGGGCAAATTATTTAGGGTGTTTGTGAACCAATTTCCTCATCTTTGAGATAGGGGGAAAATACCATCAAATCCCCATTGCCGTTGTAAGGATTTTGTAAAATAAATGTGAGGCATACCTGGCATACAACAGGCATTAGGTGCTTGCTATCATTATTATTTGTAACGATTACAACATTTTCTAAGAGAAAAAGAATCATTCTAGGAAAACAGAAGACCTGGATTCTAGACCTCAAACTAGAGAAAGAATTGAGAAGGCATACTCTTGGGGTCTGGCTTCTTCATCTGTGAAATAAAACAGCCTTACTAGATGATCTCTCAAATTTCAAAAAAGTACAATTAATGGAATAAATAAGTTACTGCGTGTGACTATGGACCACAGCTACAATGACGGGAATGCTACAGTAAAAACATGATCAAAACATAAGAAAAAAGGAGGACACAAAAGCTTGAGATTAGGTTTTTATTTTTTTTGAGACGGAGTTTCGCTAGTTACCCAGGCTGGAGTGCAATGGCGCGATCTCGGCTCACCGCAACTTCCGCCTCCTGGGTTCAGGCAATTCTCCTGCCTCAGCCTCCCGAGTAGCCGGGATTACAGGCACGCGCAACCACGCCCAGCTAATTTTTTTGTATTTTTAGTAGAGACGGGGTTTCACTATGTTGACCAGGATGTTCTCGATCTCTTGACCTGGTGATCCACCCGCCTCGGCCTCCCAAAGTGCTGGGATTACAGGCTTGAGCCACCGCGCCCGGCCCGAGATTAGGTTCTTAAAACAGGGTGTAGGTCTAAAACTGCCATCTGAAAAAGATGAATTAAAAGAAGTAAAGAAAAACTAGTATCAGAAGCAAAACCTGGGGAAGAAAATTCTAGATTCTATTTTTAAAACGTGTGCCCAACAGTGAAACTAGACGCCAGGGAAGGGGGAAGGGATGTGTTGGAGCTCGAAGGGGCAGTTCAGTTTGGGAATGGGAGCGCGAAAACTGCGGGAGACCTCGTCTGTCCCCTTTCCTGCTGGATCCCCAACTTTACTAAAGCAGGCAGCGTGTAGAAGGTGCTGAATTTACACCTGATGAATAAATGAACCTACGTGTAAGGGGAAAAGGAAATAGCCAAGTCCGTAATATACCGCGACCAGGAGGACACAGCCTGAGGGACAGAGGCTTGGGAGCAGAGGAGACAGCTGAGGGGAACAAAAAAGCCCAGGGTCTGTGGGAGGCGGGAGAGGATCGAGAGCGGATGTTAGGACCGAGACAGCACACAGGCTGCCCAGGGGGTCACCTGCGACGTCGGGCGGCGGCAAGCCAGGGTAGTAGTGCTGCCACAGCCCCTGCAGGAAGGCGGCGCCGCTATCCACGCAGCGGTGCTTGGAGCTAGTGATGAGCCGCAGGCGGCCGTAGTTCTCAAGGCTGAAAAGGGCCGGGAAGAGAGAGGCCAGACGCAGCGCCAACTGTCGCATATCCTGCCGTCCCTTCTCCACCAGCTGCCCGTCCATCCAGTCCGCGTACCACAAAGGCCAGTCGGCCAGCGCGGCACCCAGGTCGCGGCTGCCGGTACTACCGGCCCCACCTTCCCTGGACCCGCGGGCCTGCAGCAACCCGTGCAGCTGCTTCAACTTGCGGATCTGTTTGGCTGTGGGGTAGCGGGTGCCGTGGCGAATAAGGGCCACCAGCTGCACCGGGGTGCAGGTCCCTTCCAGTAGCTCAGGGTCCCGCCACGGAGCCTCGGGGCCCGACAGCAGCCCGGGATTGACATCCTCATAGCGAGTCTTGGTGCCGAAATAGGGGCTGAGCGATGAGGCCACTGGGTCCCTAGGCTCTAGAAGAGAGCAGCGCGCAAACGACGAGAGCAGCGCCGCAGCCAGGGCCGCGGCAGGCGCTACCGAGATCCGGAGGAGGCAGCGGGGCGCGCGGAGCATGATGCAGGGCGGTGAGTGGAGGGAGCTGCGCCGGCTGCGGATGCTCAGCTTCCGGCTCCGGAGAGCAGGGGGCGGGCCCGGGGGGCGCTTCCGGCCCGTGGCCTTCGGGTTGCGCCTGCGCTGCCCTCGAAGAGGTCCGGGTGGCTGGCGTCGTGTCTTGCGTCTGGGAGGAAAGCTCGGAGGATCCCCATAGACCTGTGGCACGGCAGGAGCCGGCGGGAAACCCTGAGGAGCTTGTGGCAGCCGTGGCTAAGGTGGTAGCCGGCGTCACTGCCCCGCAGCGTGGGCGAGTTTCCTCTTAGCCCGAGCCTCAGGGATTGACTCAGACTCCTCCGCTTTTTTAGTTGTTTTGGGTGTGAGTGAAACCCAGACTAAACCTTAGCCTGGATTCCAAAACAGGACAGCTTTTACAGATGACTCTCATATCACTGTCCCTACCCTGTGATACTGTGTTTTTCAAAGTATAGTGCCTGAACTATCTGCATGAAATCCGCCTGAGATGGTTGTTGAAAATTCACAGTGGCTGGGCCTTGTTGCAGGATGCCTCTTGAAGCCCAAGGTTTTTTGTTTCTTGGATTTTTTTTTTTTCCATTTGAGTATGAAAATAAATAGGAAAGCAGAGAACTTGGAAAGGGACTTACATTCCTGCAGAATGTAAGTCCTGAATCTGATATAATCTTGACCTCTACTACCAGAGCTTACGCGGACATCAGTGAGACAGCACCCTAAAAGTTTTGTGCTTGTTGATCCCTAAGGCTTAGAGAGTAGAGACACAGCCATCTGGATAATTTGGGTGCATTGAGTCATGGCCCAACAGATTTACTCCATTATTAAGTATGAGCTAATCTGCTTTACGAAACAAACATCCTCTGTATTTACCACCACTCCAGATCCATACGTTCCTCCTATGTTCCTCTCATGTACATACATACTCAAATCAGCAGCTGGGCTTTTTAATAGGTTATTGCTCAGAATCTTTGCCTGATCCCCAAAACAGCTAAATCCTATAGGGAAACAGCAAGGCTGTCTATGTAAGCATATACAATACTGTCTAAGAACATGGTCTCTGAAGTTAGACTTTGTGGTTTTCAGATTCCAGCTTCATCTCTTATTGTCTATGAGATAGTAAACAAATTCTTTTGCCTCAATTCTTTTTCATTATAAAGTGGGGATAATAACACCTAGCTTTGAGACTGTTGAGAGGATTAAATGAAACAGTTTACATTAAGACTTTATACAGTTCTTGTCCCCAAATATCAGTTGCTTTTATTAAACAGAATTAAAGCGTTTCTTTTTTCTTCTTTTTAGAGACGGGGGTCTTGCTATGTTGCCCAGGCTGGAGTGCAGTGGCCATTCACAGGCGCGATCCCACTACTGATCAGCACGGGAGTTTTGACCTGCTCCGTTTCGACCTGGGCCAGTTCACCCCTCCTTAGGCAACTTGATGGTCCCTCAATCCTGGGAGGTCACCATATTGATGCTGAACTTAGTGCAGACATCCGATTGGCATAGCGCACTACAGCCCAGAACTACTGGACTCCAGAGATCCTCCAGCCTCAGCCTGGGACTACAGGCACGTGCCATCACACCCGGCAAGTGTTTTCTTATTATCACTTCTCCCTTAATGAAATAAACTGACAAATAGTTTTCCATAAATATTTATTATCTTATAACTACATTAAGCAATGATCCTTGTGCCTATGCCAAGAAACGTTGAGCTTTCTTATCTTTCTGCCCTGCTGTTGCATCATTCCTCTTTTAACAGTTGCCAGATGTTGATTTAGTGTTTATTTGCTTTTTGTTGCAGTGGAAGCCAACAGAAGAGGGGTCCATTTGTACAGTTAGGGCTGGAGTGATCCATGTTCCAATAGCAGTCCCTTTAACCTCACTTAAATATGGAGGCTGCATAGATCACAAGTCTGAATACTACAAGCGACCTTTGCATAAAAGGAACCACACCAGCACTGATAGCTAACTGCTAGATTGTTCTCCAGCATATCAGAGTTAACTTGAATTGCTTGAGTTGTGCTTCAGTTAATGTAGAGAATGTCACTGAATAACACATAACCATTGAAGTAACCTGCTGCTAACAGTCTCTTGCTCTGCCAATGGAGTTATTTTACAGTGATAAAACTTCTCTTCTGGTGCCTTGACACATCCTAGGACTTTGATGTTGGTAATTATTTCCCCCCAGCAAATATTGGTTCTAATTCTATGTAACTACTTGAGAAACCAGATGCAAAATTATGGTGGATTTAAATTATCAATATTCTTTATAGGTTTTGCTATTCCCATTTAAAAGAAGGAACTGTAGCTATACATTTTCTAGTCCTGGTCTATGGTGATTTTCCTGCACAAACTAACATTGTTGTTCAGAAATATCATTTCCCCTAGAATTACCCTCCATCTAAAACATACTGTTATTCTATCACAAAGATAAATAATACGTTTCCAAATCCTGGTTAAAAAACAAAACAAAACAAAACTCTCTTCTCCTCTGTGTTTTTCCAGAACAGGCATAGATGATAGCAATTGTGTTTTACCATTTTATTTTTTTCTGAAATGTTAGTTTTCTAGGATGTGGAAATATTAGGGTTAACAAAAAAAGAAAACAACTTTTTAAATGAAACAGTAGTTTTCCATAATTGAAAAATCTTTTTGAGCTTTTCTATCTTTAGGACTATTGGGGGTTAGCTGGCTTTAGAGGCATTAACATTTTCTTATTATTTCAAACAATAGAGAACTTTCTCCCTCTTATTATTTTTTATTTTCATTTTTATGGAGACAGGGTCTGGCTCTGGCATGCAGGAGCTGTCTGTAGTACAGGAGCACAGTCTCAGCTCACTGCAGTCTCAGCCTCTTGGGCTCAAGTGATCCTTCCACCTCAGCCTCCTAAGTAGCTGGGACTACAGGTGCAGGCCACCACATCCAGCTAATTTTAAACAACAAGAGAACTTTCAAAACTAAAGTTCTTTATTCTTCAAGAAATCCATTTTTTTCTTAGCTCATTAATGTCCATTTCATGTTGCCTCAGTGGGCCATGTATGAACCTTTTTTCTTTCAGATTTTGTTCAGTTTTGTTGTATACAGACCCATCTTTCTTTGATTGAGTTGTTTTGTCTATATGATAAATCAGTCAGTGTTAAAACCCAAACAATACCTAAGCCAAATAGCAATGTAGGCACCTGTGAACACACATACTTGGTTGCAGTTGCTTCAGTAAAAAGGACAGTTTACACCCAAATTGAAGCAATCATTATGGTTCCACAAACAACATCCCTTATGATCCCACCTCACCTCTTCATTCTTCCTTTGCTGTCTGATCTGATTCAGTACTCCAAAAGATAAGGCAGGTGAGAAGCCATCTTGAAAATATTAAAAAAATAAATAAGGGGCCATCATGAAAATATTTATCCCACATCTTACATTAAGCAAACTGCCAGCAACTATTTGTTCAAAAGTGTGAATGAATAAATGAAAATAGGACAAAGAGGCAGCATGGGAAGCTAAAATAGGAAAGTATTATTGCTTTGCTTTATGTGGTATAATTATCTCATTTTATCTTCCCAGCTCTCCCAGGAAGTATGCAGAATAATATTTATTTCATATTGTAGATGTGGTAATCAAGACAGAGAAGCTAGATGCTTTACCTAAAGTCATTCAACAAATATTTGGTAGAACCAGTTCTAGAATGCAATCAATGGAAACAGAGTTATTTTGGTGCTTCTTTTCCTGATACTTGCCCTATTCCTGACAAATGAATAATGGCTTCAGAAAATGTCACTTGTTGCTAGGGCTAAAAGGATAAATTTTCTTCAGAAAATGTCACTTGTTGCTAGGGCTAAAAGAATAAATTTTACATGTAATACTGTAGCACTTACTATTAGTTAATGACCCAATATTTATTCTATGTTTTGCTTTGGAATCTTTGAAATGTGTAGGTCTTTGCCTCTTGGGAAGCTCACTTTATGTTTGCCTCCCGAGAAGCTCACTGTATCCTCTCCTCAAGAGAAAATCCTGATTTGGTCTAAACCAATCTTGGTAACTACATTTCTTACCAGACTTGTTTCAGGAATGTGCATGCAACTCAGTTCTAGCTGATGAGATATGAGGAGCAGTCTACTGGGGAGTTTCAGGGAAAGTTTGTTTTTCTTGTCCTAAGAAATAAACAAATAATGGGGTAATAAAGCTTCAACTCTTTATGGGGTCACTAGATTTGAGATGCTATTGGTCAAAGGAATATTGAATTTGACACAGTAAAATAGTCTGGAAGGAAAGGAAATGACATTCAGTGAATGAGATGCTGAAAATTGATATTTTGAAGGTGGTATCGTAGTTTTTATTGATTAGATGAAACAGTTGAGATTAAGAAAGTTTAGCCAGGACAAGTTATATAGCACAAATCATTTGGAGGTACGGAGGTTAAAAAAAACCTTGAGAGTCCAGGAAGTCCTGGCTCCAAACTTCTGTTCCTGCTGGACTTGAGCCCCACTAGCTTCTCATCTTTCACTAATCTATGTACCCCTTCTCTCCCACTTCTAAAAAGCTGAGCTCACTCAACAACTTTAATTTTATTAAAATAAATTATTTTACAACAGACATTTTGTTTTTAATAAATGTTATTAGTGATTTGGAAAAATGAAAGATTGACATCTTTCAATTGACAGAGATGCCAATAATTTAAAATATAATTTAAAATATAATTTTAAAAATATAATTTTTTAAAACATTTTGTTCTTAAAATGAGAAAGAAATCCAAGGAAGGGATCACTACCCTGGGCAACAGCATGTCCCATATAATAACTAGACCTGCTGCAATTATCTTGCTACCAGGGAGGAGCTAGCTTGAAAATAAAACCAACACAGTGAGATAGATGACAGAGCAGAAAGGGGAAAGAACCTAAGTCCCTAATGATATTCAGCTGATGGATTAAACCTGGAGTGTGTCTACCATGGGCTTCTGTAGGAATTAAAATGTCTGTACTGTTTAAACCAGTGTTTCATTGTTTTCTGCAGAAATCCTAATTGGCATAAAGAAACTATTGACCAATTAACCCCACTGCAACCTCACCTGACCCCTTAGGATGT